GAAATACTACCATTTCATTCTTTATAGATGTAAATATATCATATGTGTTACTTATGTTACAAATGCAATAATCTTCATATTGTTGTAGGAAAATCGATCCACCCTTATCCGCAGGGCGGATCACTATTGTCATGTCCTGTGACAGAGCCTTCAGTACCGCATGTTCATCCCTAGAGATGTTTGATCTCCTGCAATGAGTACTGGATTTAAGGCCAAAACTTTTTTTGCAGTCGTTTTTAACATTCTGTGCAAGTATCGGCCATAGGGGGGCTATTGGAGCCGATTGGTCAGTGGCTTGATATGAAATTTAAAGTCCCAGTTATGCAACTTCCATCATTTGTTAAAGATTCAGCAGCGGTGATCAGTGAATTACAAAAGATTGTATTACTGGGAAGTGAAGTATTACTGACTACAATTGATGTTTCAAGTCTCTACACTATAATACCACACTCTGAAGGCATACAAGCTATGAGGGAAGTGTTATAGAGACATGGCTCGGATAATCATCCACCTGTTAAATACATCATGGAACTGTTAAACTTATGTCTGACATTGAACTATTTTCGGTTTGAATCCAAATATTACATTCAGCTCCGATGGCTCCCATGTATGCCAACGCTTTTATGCACTCGTTTGAAGAAACAAACATTATCCAGCAGTATGGCAATCACATCAAATTCCTCCATTTCATCGATGATGTGTTAATAATTTGGAGAGGAGATGAGCAAACATTTATGAATATGATTACCTCATTGAATGCACTAAATTCCCCGGTGAAATTGACCTCTCAATGGAGAACAACCCAAATAGATTTTTTTGCATCTAAGGATCTACATCCAAGGAAATCGGTTGGGATACACTCTGTATTCTAAAGACATTGACAGGAATTCAATTCTCCATGCATCAAGTTTTCACCCTAGGAGATTGAAAGAATCTCTGCCTATTTCTCAATTTTGCAGGGTCCTTCGTAATAATTCTGACCCAAATAAAGCATCAGAACAGTTACAAAAGATGCACCAGAAATTCCAGGAAAGAGGCTACAATTGTGGTACCTTGACAAAAGCTTTACAGAAGGCATATAAGTCGATTGAAGAACCAGTAGATCACAAGGTGATAGGTGATCGGCTAATATTCCCTCAATCATTTCATACTGAATCACATAATATTGCTGCCATCATTCGTGACAACTGGAAAACGCTTACAAAGGACATATAATTACCGGCTCCCTTCAGACAGACTCCATTCATGAGTTATAGAAGGGGTAAGAATCTTAAGAATCATTTTGTTCATGTGGATCAATTTACCAAAATCAAAGATTCATCTGCAACCATCAATACCGGTTGCTTTAGATGTCTTAGATGTATTGATTGTAATTCCATGTTGCCTGTGAAAGAGTTTGTACATCCGAGATCTGGCAAGAAGTTTAAAATACGACATAGGATCATTTGCACCACTACCTATGTTGTGTACCAGATTGTATGCCCATGTGGACTTGTGTATGTGGGCAAAACGTCTAATGATCTCCGTGAGAGAATGAGGGGACACCGTTCAACTATACGGACAGCGTTGGCAAACAAATGTGCAAGTACTCCAGTGGCACGTCATTTTTTAGAAATGGGACACCCTTTGTCCTCATTGAGATTTATGGGGATAGATCATGTCCCAGAACTGTCTAGGGGTGGCAACTGTGAGATGCGATTGCTACAAAATGAGGCATTTTGGATTTTTACATTGGACACTATGTCTCCCAATGGACTAAATTAAATGAATTCACTTCAATGCTTTCTACCAAGAAGATAGTCTGTGATATGCGTTCCACGGCATAACATGTATTCTATATGTTTAGTGATATTTAGTTGATCTACCCATTTTCTAGGATCTGTTATATTAATGAGTATTGGCATTATGCTGGTTATGAATGAGCTATATGATTAAGTTAAGATCTAAATCCAGTTCCATAATCGACTAGTAATGTCTGATATGAGCGTTTGTAAATACTTTATTTTGTTGCTATTTTGCAGTAAGATTTTGTTGATAATTTAGTGCACCATGTGGCCATATATCATAGTTTATACTGCTCTTATCGTTTGGCTTTTTACGAATGAGTTGTATAATCGAGTTAAGTTTCAAACTTATTTCTATAATTGACTAGTTATGTCTGATAGGAGTTCCTGCAAATACTTTATTTTGTTCAAGACTGAACCTTCTTGTTATCCTACAGTAAGAATGTACTCACTGCATTTTGTGGTTAAATATCAGAGTTTATACTGCTTTTATGTGTAGATTTCCCCCATGCTGATACATACTTGGACCTGGAGTAGTAGGAGTTAACAGCTGTCTCTAAGAGTGAAACTCTGTATCTCGGTCAGTATGTGATATCACTTTGATTTTATACTGATCGCTCTGGTCCAGTATGTATTCTCTGCTTGGGGAAAACATTTTGTCATGTTTTGTATATATGTAAATAGTTGAGTTTTTTCACTTTAGGTATGTTCAATGGTTTTATTGAATACTGTATATATAATAATTTAAACACTTTAGTAATTGGTACCATATGTTATACTCACGATGCACGTGATGTAATTGAACCTCGTTAGTGTTCCTTTACCCTCCAATCAACAGTTCACAGCGTATATTTAAATGCAATGAGTCACATTGTTAGATTGTCTTGAAAAAGGTCCCTAGTGGACTGAAACGTCGACACTATGTAATCAACTTTTGAAGCTTGAATAAATGGCACATTTTTGGCAACAGTATCGAGTCCTGTGAGTGCACTTCCAACAAGGTATGTATATATATATATATATATATATATATATACACACTGCAAAGGATTCTGGGTGGGCATATGCAAATTAGTTTAACAAAATCAACTGTTTTGCCTCATTCCATTTAAAACACGAATTCCTTTGAGTCTGTGTTTTCTGTATACAACAGCTTTGAAACACAACTTAGGAAAAGGTGCAAAGCCAGTGAACCACTCATGGACAGCTGTTTCTTTGCTAATGCAAATCATGCTGGTGATTTACATTAACAATGAAACAGTTCTCCATGCGTAGTTCACGGGCTTTGCATCTTTTCCTAAGTTGTGTTTCAAAGCTGCTGTATACAGCAAACACAGACTCAAAGGAATTCATGTTTAAAATGGAATGAGGCAAAACAGTTGATTTTGTTAAACTAATTTGCATATGCCCACCCAGAATCCTTTGCAGTGTGTGTGTGTGTATGTGTGTGTATGTGTGTATATATATATATATATACATACCTTGTTGGAAGTGCATACTGTATACAGCAAACACAGACTCAAAGGAATCCATGCTTAAAATGGAATGAGGCAAAAATGTGATTCTTTGTTAAACTAATTTACACATGCCTGTAGGATATGAATATCCATTTTGCTCTATATCCTAACTGTTCATGTAAGGGTTAATTTGAATCAAGAATAAATTTGGAATTGTATCTCATGTCACATGTTATGACTTATCTATTTACGGGAAATGTTATTTACATGACATGACATGATAAGGATTCTGGAATGACCTTGTTAATTGTCCAAGATTTCGGTATTTGTAATCATCTGGGTTTTATCCAATATGCATACATTATGTAACATCGAATTATAACTAAAAACAGATGTTTATAACTTGTGAAAAACAATGTCATTGTCACGCCCATATGCTCATTTTTCCCCCTCCCATCCTGCTATGAAAATGGGGTATAAATATAACTGACGTATGAATACAATTTGAATTGGTTATTGAACACGTCTCTGCTATTCATTTCCAATTTCCAGAGCTCTGTATGAGTTGGCAAATATCCATCATCCACAAAGGGCCCAGGCTGATTTTATCCCCAACAAATTGGTGTCAGAAGTGGGAGTGCAATTAGGAACGGAGTTGCAGGTAAGGGGGTCTTTTAGCCCCTTGGGGACACAACTTCTGGAATTTAAGGGTATCATGACGGAGTATTTCTGTCGTGTGTCCTTAAGGGGTTGGGGACCTTTGCCTGCTTCTGCCATCCTCCCACACATTGCATTTCTTGTTTTAATGGGGTTTTTCACTATTTACATTTTTAAAGGGGATTTTCACAGGATAATGTCTTTGGTAGACATGGTATTTTGTTAAGTCTTAGGTAGACTTCTATTACTCCACGGGTTGGAGGATTGCCTTTGGTAGGTAGTAGTAGTTATTGTGCACATTTCCTCTTTGGTAAGAGGTTCACCTTTGGCCAGGTGTTAAAAATAATTTCAAGCCTTTGGTAGGCTGTGATGTACCTGTGATGTACACTTACATATGGGAGACGTCCCTAGATCCCTCTTTGGTAGAGGTTGCCTTTGGTAGGTTATAAAACAGACTCCCTCTTTTTTTCTTTTTTTCACTTTTTCATGAGAGTGGGATGTATGATTGTTTATATGATGAGCCCTTTATTTTCATATTGGGACAAAAAGTCACTTCATTCAAAACGTCAAACACCACATTCTTTCTGCCCTGAGTGTTTGTTGCAGAGAACTTATGTTGCAAATTTAGATGATTATGAATTAGAGAGCAAAATGTATATTTTCAGCGTTCCAACACATGCTTCATATTGTGCTGTAAGCTAACTTGTAGTATTCCAGTACGTCACATGTTGTATGTGCTTTAAATTGTATGTATTCTGTAAATTATTGTATGGGGTTGCTGAGATTTTATTGCTTGTGACCCAAACTGTGAAGAAGTGGGTTTGAAATTTTGGTCATGGAATGTAGGATCAGAAAACCATGGACAAAGGTTTTTACCTGTGTTGATATGACTTTTGGAAACTCAAATTGACCGGTCAAAGTTTTGCCATGCCTTTAACATGGAGTAGTATAAATATTTTGAGTCTTTGAGAGTTCTGACAAATGCAGGTGATACCATGTCTGTGTAATCTGGTCCAAATGTTCTATAAGCGTATAAGAGAGAAATTCTATTGACAGGGTACATATGTTGCAACAGGTTAATGCAAGTGTTATACAAATGTTTAAGTCAAACGTGTTATATGGCCGTACGGGATCCCTTCTTTAAAAAAAAGAAAAAATAAACCCTTTGGTACCAGAAATCTTAAATAAATCCAATACAAACTAAAATTGGTATACCTTACAATAATATGTTCTGAATACAGCTGTTAGAAGTTTATTCTGTGTGAATGATGATTGTCATAAATGTTTGTTTTGGTTACTCATTTTGAAGTGCGCAGTTTAATTGTCATGTATGTTAATGGGTATTTTGCTGTTATTTTAAATTATATTTGAATAAGTTTGTCTTAGTATTGATACAGATGAAAATGGCAGCGTAATAATCTATTAAACAACTGATTTATTAGAGAATACTAGTCCAAGAGCAATATGAGTTGTAGTCTTAAGAAAGAAAAAAAGAGGGAGTCTGTTTTTGTAAATTTTAGCTGATTTCCAAAATTCTGTTGCAATAATGGACTTCCTGCCAAAATTTGACTTTCCTGTCCAGTTGCCAGGTGCTCTGATCTAATCTTAAAGTAGTACTGCTTGCATTGTTTGCAGACATGCATATTGCACAAACATGAGAACCAAATTATGTCTGTCACATAGTGTGACATTTATCAATTTATTTTGGATTGAGTTAATTGCCTGTCCATGAATATGCTTTTTGTATTGGCATGTCTGCTGGATATCTGCTACATGTTTTCTGTGCTATAAGATGATGTGTGATATTACAATGAGTATGAAGAATATTTAAAGAATATTTGCATGTCATTAACGCAAGCCTTTAGTGTCTTTTTACAACAGATTAAAAAAACGCTGATCAGCCAACAAGAAAGGGGCCCCTGGGAAAGAAAAAGAAAAATATATAATTTGCTTTTCAAAATCGTGGATCCACGTTTCAGTATTATTAGGGGAGTATTTAGAGTTAACGCTACTTTTAAAGTGCATTGCATTATTTAAGAAAAGAAAAATGTGTTACGTTATATGGTTATATAACAAGAAAAATTATGGATGTATAGGATAGGTTTTTTCCAAGATTAAGATTCATCTAGTATGCCTCATTGATTATAGGAAAATGATGAAATGGTATTTTTAATAGAGATCAGATAATTTCTTTTGAGGCAATTCTAAACTACTGTATTATATTTGTATTGGTATATTGAAAGCATTTTGCAGACCCAGAAGAGAATAAATAATATAATAATAATAAAAGGAACCATACTATGGGAAGAGGTCACCCTATTAAATTGCTAAGGGGTTAAACCCCAACTGAATTTCTTGGGAAGATTCATGAGAAAGATACAGCAGGTTGTTTTGGATATAAAGAGAGAGGAAGTGTTAGCTTACTCAGGCATGGATGTACTATGTGTGTCATTGATGTATGTTGAGTGTACCAAGGATGGATTCCAATGTATTAAGTGTGGATATGACTGGACTATCGAAATAGGGATTTGATTAGGAGGCATAGGACGCAAGGTCATGATTGGGATTATTGCTAGAATTGCAAACTGATTAGAAATGATCTTATGATTTAATATGTAAGTGGCCTTTTCAAACTAATCAAGAAGTGTTTCCCAATCCCGATACCTGAGCTATTTACTTACATAGTGCAGGTTTTATAAGTCACTAATGCTGTCAACGTGAGGGGATGACATGTTTACACAGTCATGGCCCTCACTTAGAATTTACCCAGATGTGCTTTTTTTCTCAATTATGAGTTTTTGCCACTGGGATTTTTGACCTGGCCCAAGTTCACTGGATGGACTGGTAATCCAAGACCCTGGTCCAAAGAGGGGAAATAGATTTTATTCCCATTTTTGATTATATGTGTTTACGTTGTGAATTATAATAATAATATTCCCGTTGTTAGGAATAATACACTTTGCCTGTTTTGATCCAAGGCTCAAGTTACAGATAACATGATATGCAGTATGTTTAAAATTGGTTAAGATGTCAGCTGTTTGAAATATTTAACTTGTACACTTAAAAGATGTGTACAACAGATGATTACAGAAGCTGAAAATCGACAGCTCGATCTCCTCTTAAAGGGAAAACCTACGGCATAGAGCAAATGGGGGAAATCGAGGTGAAGAAATAAGGAAAGTCCCGCAGACGTGATTAGCACGTCTGAATATACCTCCTTTCGTTTCTCTGCCGCAGGCCTCCCATGGATATTCCATAAGGTAGATCACGATATGATCTAAAGAGAGGAATTGTAGGATATGAATATCCATTTTGCTCTATATCCTAACTGTTCATGTAAGGGTTAATTTGAATCAAGAATAAATTTGGAATTGTATCTCATGTCACAATGACTTATCTATTTACGGGAAATGTTATTGGAACATGATTTTGTTATTTACATGACATGACATGACATGATAAGGATTCTGGAATGACCTTGTTAATTGTCCAAGATTTCGGTATTTGTAATCATCTGGGTTTTATCCAATATGCATACATTATGTAACATCGAATTATAACTAAAAACAGATGTTTATAACTTGTGAAAAACAATGTCATTGTCACGCCCATATGCTCATTTTCCCCCCTCCCATCCTGCTATGAAAATGGGGTATAAATATAACTGACGTATGAATACAATTTGAATTGGTTATTGAACACGTCTCTGCTATTCATTTCCAATTTCCAGAGCTCTGTATGAGTTGGCAAATATCCATCATCCACAAAGGGCCCAGGCTGATTTTATCCCCAACAAGGCAAAATGGTAAGGCAAAAATGTGATTCTTTGTTAAACTAATTTACACATGCCCACCCAGAATCCTTTGCGGCAGTAACATCACTGCAAATTTTGGGATTCCTGTGGGAAAAGCAAGTCTTATGGCTTGACTGATGTGCAGATTTTTGTTTAACATTGTATTAACTATCCACTTAAGGTGTAATGGGTTTTTAATCACAATTTTTTCCCCACCATAACCCTTTGGTTTTTGCATATATATATATATATATATATATATATATATATATATATATATATATATATAAAATTTGTAACAGACACAATATGATAAGCTATGTTATGCAAAGAATTATGACTGACCAGATTACTACAAAAGGACATCAGAGGAGTATAATAACCAAAGGATGACATGAAAAAGGACAATCTCCTGAATACAAAGGAGAGTTTGGATTGATAAATTATCTACCAACCCAGAGTAATATGTATATCAGCTTTCAACTCTTAGTTCCATGCAACATGTTATTCACAAGTCAAAATATTAACAAATGATGTATTACTTTAGAGACAGAAGTCTCAATTTGTCAAACATATTCCTGATTAATTCATTTTACCTATTGCTCTGAATTTTTAAAACCTGTTCTTTAAAAAAAAATACAGAAACAATTGTGTTTAAAGCTTTGCACTGAATACAAACTTTCTAATTAGCATCCAGCAGAGAAAAGATGTACAAACACAGAATATATCAAATTATTGTAAAAAAAAAATACAGAAAAAGAAAACAGATTGAATACAACAGTGTGGAAGCCATTCTGAATTCTCAGGGGGGGGTGTTCCTCTTTCCTAAAAATATTATATAATCAATAACCACTTATTTCTATTGGACTTTTTACACTTATTTGGGGAAATCAAAATAGAAAAAGTGAGTGCATGCAACTCATGTATAGGTTCAGGTAAATAGACTTTAAAAGAGCATTATCAATATTCCATAATGCGGGTCAAATTTATAGGTAAAACAATATGGCAATCTGTTATTCTTTACTTTAGTCAGCCTCACCACGTGATGAATATTTCACTTTTTTTTACAATTGAAGCTACTGTCTTGATGAACACTTTTGTCATAGCCTACTATGGGTAGGCTATGCTAAGTAAATCTGGAAATACTACCCTTTTAGAGCTAGTAGACTGACTCTTGGTAGGTGTATTATATTGTCATAAAATACTGTTAGATAAATAGCTTGATTTCAGTTTTACTCTGCTAGAATGAATTAGCTCAAGGAGTTATCTTGTTCAAGTCTGTGGTTCCATGGGGCCCATTTTATCTCATGCTCTATAAATGTTTTTACCTCCTGCTCTATAAATTGAGCTTTAATCACACACTGAAGGCTCCTGCAAGATCTAGAGATAAGAAATGCTAAAATAGACAGAATGTGCAGTAAAGTTGTTTAGAAAGGCTATGTAATTCACATGCAGGGAGGTGTGACTAGAGTTGAATAAACAAAGTGGTCTAACTCCTACCATGATACACACTGACACAGAGCAGAATAGAGACTGTTCCCCCTACATAGGGTCACTTGGCAGATATGGATTGACACCTGTCCTCAGAGTCCCTGATACACACTGACACAGAGCAGAATAGAGACTGTTCCTCCTACATAGGGTCACTTGGCAGATATGGATTGACACCTGTCCTCAGAGCCCCTGATACACACTGACACAGAGCAGAATAGAGACTATTCCTCCTACATAGGGTCACTTGGCAGATATGGATTGACACCTGTCCTCAGAGACCATGATACACACTGACACAGAGCAGAATAGAGACTGTTCTCCTACATAGGGTCACTTGCAGATATGGATTGACACCTGTCCTAAAGATCCCTGATACACACTGACACAGAGCAGAATAGGGAATATTCACTAAATGCCAAACATTGTTATACAGGGGAATATTCAGTAAATAAGGATAAGGGGGACCTACTGTCCTCCCCCCCCCCCGGCCCCCACCCCTGCACGGTGGGTGGGGGCCATAAATCTCATTGGGGGGACCTACTGTCCTCCCGCCCGCCCCCACCCGTGAGCGGTGGGTGGGGGCCATAAAAATAATGAGGGGGGGGACCTACTGTATGATGTATCGATCAGGTAGTGTAAGGGTTACACCCGCTTCACAGTGACAGACCAAACTCCCCATTTAACGCACCGCAAACAACCGCAAACAGTCCATTTGCACAACCGCAAACTCCCCATTTTCACAATGGCGAACGTGGCGAACGCGAACATGCTATGTTCACCGGGAACTATTCGCCAGCGAACCGTTCGGTGCATCACTAAAAGACAGTAGAAAGTTTACTAAATGGTAGAACATATGCACAAAAGTCCCTACAATATGTCTCCAGATTAATGAGAGAACACCCACCAGTAGATAGCTTAGAGACTGATAAAAAGTAACAGGTATGCAAGAGAAATAAACCTTTTCCGTGCGCACCTACACTAAAAAGCGCCACATTACAAAGCTAAGAAAAATGCCTAAACTGTAACACATGAAAAAGCAGACAGTAAAAGAATTGCCAGAAAAGTACCTAGCAGGTGCTAATTTAGTGTCTGAACCATAGTGGGTCAGGTAGTAGTAAATATAATTATTTTTGTTAATTTGTTTTAATTGTTAAAGTCACCTGCCTTGCATGCGGTATTCATTTTGGTTTCTATTATCTTACCATTGATTTGTCTATCAGAAAGCATAGACAGCAAGTGCAGTGTCCTTATAGTGTTTGCGTTTTTTTCATAGTTTTCTTTTTCAATGTTATACTATTTTTGCATCAACTGCCTGCAACATTTATAGTGCTTACTTTTAGGTAATATTGCTACATTGTACCATTTTTCACTGCCACTGAATGGCCATGCTGTTGATTTGTACTCATAATGCCCCATAGAGCAGTTCTTGAGTACTTAAGAACTTATGTAACCAAGGGGTTTCAGAGGAGTTTCTCCAAAAGGCACATTTTAGGGTCAATTCTACCCCATGTCGGGATGCTGATTAGCCTATAACCTAACCACAGCATGAAATGATAGAGAGGTGTATTACCAG